TCATTCAAGTTTGTTGTTTCAAAAGAATATCCCTAGGTTGGAAACTCTAGACTTTTAAAAGTACTTGTGAGTGTTCAGAATAATATGGATCTAGAAGGATGGAATTTGTGACCACTTCAGTGTCTTAGAAGATGGAAAGTTCATGAAGGGACTGACAGCTAGGTTATTACATTCAATTAGGCTTTATCCTCACAGACTAACAGACTACTGGGAGACCAGTAACCATGGAACAGTTGATTTTGAAAAACATTTAGTGAAAACTATTAAGAGTCAAAGCCCCTTTCGTTCACCTGCAGAAGTCACAGTTTAACTTATCTAGGGGGAAAAAAAACCACTTTTCCCATACATCATACATGGAACAGGCACTGCTATTCAAAATTTTCAAGATTAAAGAATTGATGTCAATTCTGTAGAGACTGGAACCTAACCCCAAAGCACTTCTTTCATGTTGGATAAACACTCTTTCATTACGAGTTCTTTCTAATGTGGCTAACTAACCTTAGCCACCCTATTCATAGTCTCTAGCATTTCCATATTTTACATAAATGTAGGTGAGACCAGGAAAAAACATCATCATTCTTACAAGATTGTCTTTGCTATATTAAACCAGAACACACTGAAGATTCTAAACTCCTAAATTTGTTAGAATCAGTAAAACTAATTAACTCAAAATTCCTAAAAAATTCCTATAAACTGCTGTCCCCAAGGAATGAGTATCAAAAGATTAGCAAAGCTTTCCTTAACCATTTGCCTATTTTACATTACTTTTTAAAAGTCAGTGTAACTTACTGATTCCACTTACACTTTGGGATTTAAAGACCAGAGCTGTTTATTTATGAATTTTAACCACAGCAGAATCATCCAAAAGTTGCTGATTGAGTGTCTAAATGTATTCAACATTCAACATATGTATAAATTGCTCCCTAAGTCATTTAAATCACACAGGCCTATTTTTGCACAGGGAATGGAAGTATTGGTGGGTTGAGAGTCTTTTTCTTAGGAAGGAAAAGAATAAAAATGACTAGAGAACAAAGGAAAGGAGAGATTTTTTGATATGGAGGAAACTTCAACAGAAGAATGATGAAACTCTCTCCAGGAGGATGAAAGAGAACTTAAAGGAGAAGTGAATGGTCAGGGCCAGAGAAAGAAGAAGGTAATGGTAAAGAACAACCCAGAAAAAACTAAAGAGAATATTCACATGTATTTGAAAATGCCTTGATTTAATGAAGCAATATCCAAATGAGGAGCCTGAAATCTTGAGATATCAGAACTGTCAGAGCAGCATGCCAAGAGGTGGCAGAGCCATTTCCGAGCATCTGTGCTTTCAAGTCACACAGAGAATTCCAATGCTAGCTCCACCATTTATCTATGTAACCGTGGGCAAATTAAATAATGTCTTGAGCCTCAGTTTCTTCATCTGTATAAAAGGAGATATCCACCTGTCTCTATAGGATTGTAGTGAAAATAAACATAGAGCACATAGTTGGCCAATGCTCAATAAATATTAGATGACGATGATGATGTTTTCTAGAAAAGGTTAAGGGCCCGGCCCCATGGCTGAGTGGTTCAAGTTCTGCATGCTCCGCTTAGGTGGCCTGGGTTTGTGGGTTTGGATCCCGGGCACAGACCTAACTCCACTCATCAGCCATGCTGTGGCGGTGTCCCACAATCTTCCTCAAGCAAAAAAAAAAACAGAGAAGGTTTGACAATGGATGTTAGCTTAGGGTGAATCTTCCTTGGCAAAAAAATAAGCAAACAAAAAATACAAATAAAAAAGGTTAAATGTAAAATAAGTTCTAGGAACAGAGTCTTTTACACATTTTACAGAGATGACCCAGAAGCTCTATTTTATAACAGTTTGATACCTGAATTTTTGACCTCACCCCGTTTCATACACTTTTAACCAGTATAATGGTTCAGTTTATTGGTAGTTGTCTGGAAATAGCTTTTTTAAAAACTCAATTATAGAAAACAAGGAGTTCAAGTGATAAAATAAGTTGATAAATCTGGGGCCCAGTAGTCTTCTTATTAGGATTTGAACAGGGATAAAATATATCTGATATCCAGTGAGCAGAATAAGCATTCCATATGAGCTCTATAAATATCCTATTATTTTTAGAAATAAGAACAATTAGATAATTCCTAAGGTAAAGCATTTAAATGATCCCAAGGAGGTCTCCATTAAAGAAAAGTTATGTTGAAAGCTTTAACAGTGAAAATAACTCACAAATTTATTAAAAATTGTGGGTTTTTTAAATGAGTTTTCTTATGCAAGACAGTATACTGTAATAACCGAAAGAAACCATAAGAATAAATAGAATAATGGATTGTTAAAGTGCTTCATAAATTACAAAATATTTTACAAATGTAACTATTAAATAGGACTGTGGGGCTTTATTGAGGAAAAATAAGAGATTGTGATCAAGTTGAAAAATCCTTAAAGTAAAGTCATATAAGGCAACTTCTTCTCAGTTAAGGATGAAATAAGTTTACTTGTCTAGGCATACCCCCAGTTAAGGCTATGCTATCTATGAAAACCTGAGAAAACAGAGAAAGAGTAGACTCACTCTTGGTTTCACTAGGTAAGTGTTTTAACACCACACTGCCTTACAGCATTTAAAGTAACTCATTTTTACAAATGTGTTACAACTCGTCAAGGATGCATCTACTACACCAAGTGAGGTACAACTGAATACCAGGGATTTCTCAGTCAGTGGAGAATTTGAAGAAATTTTCTTTCCATGTACTTATACCACCAGTGAGTAAGAATTTGGAGAAACTCACATTTAAAGAAATGCCTTTGGGTTGTGAGTATTTTATTTGGCAATTAAATTCAAAAGCATTTCTGGTCTAAGACACCTACTCAGAAGTATGGCAAGGCAGGCACGATTGACGGCATTTTCTGAGGATTCCAGGGAATTGAAAGTCCTAAAGTCAAAGCCAAAGAGCACAGCGAGGTGGGGCACACCCAGTGGATGTGGTCCAGTGTTAGGGACAATCTTAACTTCAGAACCATGCAAATGCTTGCCCTCCAGGGCTGCTGGGATGAGCAATACCATGATTTGGGAAGGAAAGCTTCAACAGCTGACACTTCTGGCTTACTTTACGGTTTCCAAAGTGCTTCTACACATATCATCTCATGTGATCTTTAATGCCACCTCAAGAGCAAGTAGGGCAGACATCCTACTCACTTTACAGATTCTGGAAACTAAGGCTCAGAGAGGTCAAGGCATTGACCAAAGGTTTCATGGTGGAGGAAGGGCGAGATCCTAGGTTTTCTGATTCCTAATCCAGTGGGAATTAAAAGACAGCCCAAGAAGTACCCTCACCATTTAACCTTTTAAAATGGATTTCAATTGCACAGCCACCCAACAGCTGTGTTTGTCAGATGACTCAGTTCAGAGGAGAGAGAGGCTCCCAGGCATTTTCCAGAGGTCAACACGTATTCTAGGTGACGCAAGAGGAAAATGACGATACACACGCTATCGTGCGGATCCGGTAGATTCAACAAAACTACTTATTCCATGTGGATGGAAGACCGATGATTCCTGTCTGCTTCCTCTCCTCTCAAAGGCAGGAGCACAGTCTCCTCCATCGAGAATAAAGAGCGAGGGTTAGTAGAGAAGAGCATAGAGTAACACAAAACCTATCCCGTCTGTATGGGAATCGTCAAGCAGCCACAAAATGACCCAGTAGGAACTTAATCAGAGACTTTTCTGCTACCTCTCTTGTTTCTGTGTGACAAGCTGTAGTGAGAGTAGCTGACCATAATGAGGAGAATATGGCCAATTCCAGCAATATCTAATGACTTAACATACACAAACACATAAATGGCCAATTAAGTTCCCAACCATAACTGCACCTAGTGAAGATGTGCAAACAATAGAAGCAGTCTTTCTTGGTACTCAGAGAATGACTGTACTGTACCTGTGAGCGTCACAGCTCTGGCCTTTTAAGACTATCAAGGAAGGTTTGCTGACATTCATTCACTCATTCAGAGAGTTAAAGAATGCCTCCTATGTGCCAGGTATTATTTTAGCACTCAGAAGACATCCACTTGCCTTTATGAAGCTCTCACTTTGGTGGGGGGAGACCACAAACAAGTAAAATATATGGTATATTCGATGGTTAAAACTGTTCTGGAGAATGAGGCAGACAAGGGGATGGGGAAGCCATGGGTGTGTGGGAGGTAACATATAGTAAAAGTAGTGCCTCTGTTCACAAAAGAATAATTAATGTCAAGAGGATGGATGTATAAGATATCTGAAGATAGATATTTACAAGAACATAATGAAAACCCAGATGAAGGAAGTTCAAATCTGGCAAAACGGAAGGGATGCCACATAAAAATGGTGGGAGCCATCTTCAAATCCCACATCCTTACCATCACAACCAACCTGCTGCTGAACATCTATGGCATTTGCTGGGATTTACTATAGTGTCCCCCACCAATCCCTACCCCTAACACTAACTGAGTGTTTTATCTTTTTACTGGAGGACAAGTGAAGTAGACACTGGACCAAGAACATATCCCTAGACTTCCACAGACACCTTAGGAACCAAAACTTCCAACACGAAGATAAATTATTTTCAGAGTAAGGAATCTTAGGAGAAAATTCACTTAAAAAAAAAAAAAAAACATTGCAAATTGTGATTTAAAAAATATAAGCACAAATTGACTATCAGAATGAAATTTATAGCCCAAGTAGATTTGCAAAGATGTATGTTTTTCCCCTTTTCCTACTGTTACTTCCTTTCCCTGCATGTGACTCTACACTATATTAACTCTGAGTTATCTGTCCCTTTTAAAGAGGATTTCACTACTTTGCAGATATGTAAAGGAGCAAAGATTTCATTAAATTACCCTTAGTTAAGGATCTCCTAGACTGGGCAAGCTTTAAAAGGCTATAAAAATAATATTTTGTCATAGCTACCACATAAAACTGAGAACAAAAGAGAAAAACAATTAGCCCATTGCAAATCAGAGCAGTCTCACTTACCCGGAATAGGAATGATAGGAATACTTTCGTTGGGGACCACCCGAGGTGAACTGCTATCTTCCACATAGAAATGAGCTGTCTGAAAACATTTTCTGTGTAGGAAAGAGAAAAACATGCAAACAGTGAGCCCAGAGAAATATACTTTGTCGGAGTTCATCATTTTTCAATTATTCTTTCACAGATTTTCCCAGGTTTAAATATCACACAGCACTGAGTACAAACCCACGGAAAAGTAACAAGATACGAGGACAACATTCAGCTATTCAAAGAACTCCAAATAGGTGAAGAATATCCATTTTTTATTACACCAGACCTATCCTGAGAGTCAAAAGGAAAGGCTTAGTAATGAACCACTCAAACACATGGAAACTTGGCATGGACAGAGGAAACTTGCTGTAAAAACTGCTAGGATTACCCCACAATATTTCTAAATTTGACCTGTTACAGAGGAATAATTTGCTGTTCTAAACCCCCAGCACCAAGTTCAAAATCACACCTCGACCCTCCCAAATGCAGTCATCAAACAGCCCACAATAGCACCACATTGTCAGTGCTGAGTGCAGGCCCCCGAAGCCGCAGACAGCTCTTGAAGAGGGTCAGAGGGTTCCAAGGGGGCGAGCGCTCAAAATCAGAAGCCCATGTCAGACAACATCAGAGAAAGGACCTGAAGCCCTCAAGTGTCATCTGCTTGTCTTTTGCTGTTTGTTTTTACCTGTACTTCAGGCAGAGCAGGGAACAAACACTGGTCATCACAGGACAGGCAGAGAACAGAAAAGCCATCAGCAGCTCACTCAGCGTCTGCCTAGTGATGCTGGCCGGCCCTCGGCTTTCCAGCATCCACGTCACTGCTCATTGCGGCCCTAATGAGCTGCCGGAAGCACAGGCTGAATATTTAATGAGGCTGCTCAGCGTGAATGGCTATTGTGATCAGAGAAGGGTCCCTGTTCGTCTGGCGGAGGGGCTTCACAATAGCTGGCCCTACTGCTGGGTCTTTTAGCCAAGCAGGCGGCATCCTTCTGGTGCTTAGTGTCCCTGGGATCCATCCCACTCCTCTGGCGTCTCACACCAAGCCCCTTTATGCACACTATAGCTTCGCTTTTTCTGGGGGCCCTATTCCAACCACTAGAGTAAGTAAACTTTTCTTCCGAGTTATCTTTGCTCATCTAATCGCCAGTCTGGGATGATTCTGTTGGACATACCATATTTCTATGAAGCCAAAGAAGGGGGTTGGGGGGTTTGGAAAAAATCAAACAACTCTATTAGCAAAGGAGATCACAGTGGGAGTGAGGAGGCCTCCAAGTCACATAGATTATTCCACCTCGGCTTTCCATGGAGCTATTATAACCACATAATCAGAAATGATCGCATGTCACAGGATGAAGCGTCTTTCTTTAAGCAGTGCCTACTTTCAGATGGAAAGAAGCTCTGACCAATTGTACACTTGGGCGCTGTTCTAGGAGAGATTCTGGATACTGCTCCATACCCCTAGGGTATAAATCACTCCCACTCTCAGCACGTGTCTCAACAGGACTGCTCTTGCAGAGCACTGAACAATGATTTTCTTCTATGAATTGCCTGGCGTTTGTAATATAAATAATAAAACAAGTTTTCATCACTCATTGTCTAGCTGCCTTTATCTAAATTTGGAAAGAACATCGGTCAGTCTGACTCAAGCTATGTGGATATGAAATACACAACATATTTTAGGGCTCCTAGTGGTAAGCGGATCTTCTACTGAATGTGAAGTGATGGAAACCCATGTGTAAAACACATGATTTTGATGTGTGAGGTATTAGCTTCTTTCTGTTTCTAAATTCATCAAGTTTTCTATTCTTGGATTCCTTCCTCCTTCCCCCACCCCAATTTGCACAGATTTCCAGAATGTAACATTTCAGTTAAAACATAGGTTATGGCCCTAAGAAATGAACTAGAACCTTAACCAGTCACTGTCATAGCTAAGGAAAACCTGCGTTTGTTGAGATATTGGACTATTCAAATTTTGGTAGCCAAAGAAGTGGTCTACGACACTGAAATGAATGACACACCATTTACAGGTCAGACTTTAGCTGAAAAAACACACACAAAAAAACCCCAAAGAAATAACTCTTTTAAGACCATAATCACTATGCCTATTAAATTTCTATATATAAAGCTATTAGTAAAAAGAATTGTTATTGGCCATGAAACTGTTCAAGTCAAGTGACGTGGAAAGGATAAATTGTATTGTGGATTCTTTTTCTGGAAGAAGTCAGGCAGGCAGTTCACCCAGTCCCTCAATTACATGTGGAGCTAAAGGCTCCACATTCTCTTTGAAAAAAGCAGTGTGTACTGAAGCAAATCACACTCTAGTGCCCCATGTGCTCCTGTTTATAATGGATTTTCCCTGGAGCAACATAACTCTGTGACTGCCAGAGAACAGCACACCACTGGGGATGAAGGTCAGAGCCCTGGGAGACACAGCTCTCCACATCCGCACCTTGATGCAGGTCACACATACCTCTCCTCCCATACAAGGACTTGGGTGAGCAACTGACTACAGAACTTTGGGGGAAATGTTTTCAGTGGACTCAGCAAACATTTATTTAGCACCCGCTGCACAGTGTGGAGCGTGCAGATAACACATTCTCTGCAATTGCCTAGAAGCCTTAAAACTACTTCCTGAAGCCTGGCTAAGCATTCAGGTAATTTAGAAAGAATTATGTACATAATACACAATCTCTGCAGAAAAATTAGGAAATACAAATGAACAAAAAGGAAAAAAATCAATTAAAATTACCCCAAATCCTTCTCCTAGTAATCATCACTATTAACATTTTGGGGTATATCCTTCCACGCTTTCCCTCATTTACTGACTGTTCCACATCATTGACGATGAGGGGCTGGGAGCAGAATGATAAACAAGACAGACAAGGTCCCTGCTCTCACGGCACTTATGTTCATCAACAACAAACAAGTAAACAAATAATTACAAATAGTCAAGAGCTATGAAGAAAATAAAGCAGGATGAGATGGTGATAACTGATGGAGGAGGTGAAGGAGGGGACCTCACTGACTAGCTGGCATTGACATTGAGACCCGATTGAGGAGGACCAGCCAAGGGAGGTTGTGGGGGAAGAGCATTCTAGGCAGATCAAGCAGCTAGTCAAAGAGCCTTAGAGCTGAGAGAGCTCGCACGCTGTAGGAACTGAAAGGGAGCACAGAGGGAAGAACAGGGAATGGCCGCAGGAGGTAAGGGCGGAGGGGTGGGCAAGGGCCAGATCATGCCAGATGCAAGGCCACAATCCTCCCTGGCATCCAAGAGCAATGGAAAGCCAATGGAGGGCTATAACCCGTGCAGTGGTACATTTCAGAACACTCATTTTGGCTGCTACGTGATAAACGGAGTAGAGGGTAGCAAGAACGGAGCACGGATATCCCTCGGGGCTACTATTGTAATCTCACCAAATACAGACAGACAGATGGGCTATTTTCTGTTTTGCTTTTAACAAAAATGAGTTTACCCTATACATATCTCATTGATAACAAATATGAACTGACATCCTCATTATCAATGTTTGCTCAATTTTCCATTTCATGGATGTACTACGTTGTTAGACATTTAATTTAATTTATTCCTTTAATAACTATTTATTGGGGGTCTACTTTGGGCGAGGGACTGATCAAGGTGCTAAGTTTGTCAACTTTTCACTATCATTGACCACACCTAGATGAACTCTTTGCATGTACAAATTCTACCTTGTGGGTTTATTAATACCTAAGAAAAGCAGCTGGTTCAGAGTCGATATTGCATAACATTATATTTTAACTCACTCATTTCAGAGAGGTCCCATGAGAGATTTTGGTTTCTGACCTTCAGTGGTGTCCAGGAATAAAAAAGTAAAGGCAGGGATTTTTGGAGAAGAGAAAAAGAAAACACACATTTTAATGCCTCTAAATGTCTCAACTGTGATGTGTTCAAACAGGCAGTATTATCTCTAATTTTGAGCTTAGGAGAATGGAGACAGAATTTCAGAAAATGCTCAAGTGTGTCACTGGGTATGCAGTTTCAATTTTCTATCTAGGTCCAATTGTCTCCCAACTAGCTTACTCTAAAAGTCCCCCCTTGAATGACACAGATTCTAGGATGATAAAGAGCCATTTTCTAAAATTATAATTTCTTCACAATGAACATTTGTTTTTGCAAGTATCTTAAAAAGGGAAAACAATAAAGTAGATCATGTTTGAAATAAAAAATAACATTTACAAGTTTAACTGTAAATTTTAGTCCAATGGATCCCCACCATAAATTATATATTTTCACCTCTCCTGCCTTTTTCTCTTCCCTTCCTCTCTGCCTGTACCTTCCCCTCCTTATGTCCCCTTTAAGGAATTGAGAACAGATCATTTTCTTTTCATTGAGCCTGACTGGCCTAGTAATGACTCAAATTAGTTCTCTTTGACTTCCCCTAAGCTGCCTTTGCAACATATATTTTCCTGACACTGAGTTTCCCAATTTAAGTGCACCTTAGTTTTTGGAGGGTCCCAATGTCAGTCAATCTTTCTCTTTCTCTCTCTCACTCACACATACAATCAGTAAAGTTTCAACCAAGCAGTGGTTATCAACCAGCAGTGCATATCTCTTTGGTTTGGGGAGCTTTTAAAATACCTATGTGGATGATCCCCACTTTGGTGATCCTAGCTGAGCAGGGTCCAGGGTGGGACAGAGGCCTGTGTATTCTGAAAAATCTCCCCTGAGGGTTCTGGTGTGCACTGTCCCTGGTTAGGGACCACTGTGATAAACGGAAAACGGTTCCTTAGAGTCTCCAGTACTCTCACTAGGAAAGCCACTAAAGAACAAAACAACCTTGAATGGCAGGTACCATACAAGTACCCATGAAACCAAGAGTCTAGAATTTATAGGGTCCCATATGGGATGGAAAACAGTAGTTAAGAATTCAAGGATGTTAATATAACCATCTCAAAAACAGAAAGAAAAACTGTATTGCACATACTTGAATAAGAATTTGAAAGGTCGTCTCCGTTTCTGTTAGAACCTCAGTTCTCAGAAATTGGATGAAATTCTCTAAGCTGGAGCAAAGTGTTCTGCCTCTTG